AAAAAAAAAAAGGAGAAAAAATACAGAAAAAAAATGAGAAGCTTTGATACAAAGAGGACTTCATAAACATGTGAGTAATCAGTAATATTTGATATTAGAGATAGATAATTGATTTAAAGCTGTACTGATCAATTTGATACTTATTAACTATATATGGCCATTCAAATAAATTTCCCCTGTACTTGTACTAGCCATATTTCTAGGTCTCAAAAGCCATTGGAGAGTTCAAATATAGACAATTTGAAATTTTACAGCATTGGAACCTTCCCTTGGGCAGCTTTTTGTCAACTTTTTTTCAACTCAAACACAAGTTAGATTTATCTAGGAAGAGGAACTCCAACTAAGAAAAATACCCCCATTAGATTGCCTGTGGGAAAATTTAAGGACATTTTGTTGTTGTTTGTTTGTTTGTTTGTTTGTTTCGAGACAGGGTTTCTGTCTCTAGCTTTGGAGTCTTTCCTGGGACTCGCTCTGTAGACCAGGCTGGCCTCAAACTCACAGACATCTGCCTGTCTCTGCCTCCCAAGTGCTGGGATTAAAGGCGTGTGCAACCATGGCCAGCTAGAACCTTTTCCTGATTAATGACTGTGTGGGAGGAACCAGGTCACTAGGAGTGGTACCAACCCTTGGCATGTGGTCCTGGGCACTATTAAAAAAAAAAAAAAAGCAGGATGTGCAGATTTGTAAGCAGTGGTCTTCTGTGGTCTGTGCTTTTAGTGCCCACCTCTAGGTTCCTGCTTTGGCTTCTCTTCATGACAGACTATAAGCTATAAGCTGAAACAAATCCTTTCCTCCCCAAGTTGCTTTTTGTTAATCATAGTAATAGAAGGCAGGGGAGGGGAGGGGAAAAAAGATAAAGTAAGAGACAGACAGAGGAAAGAGAGAAAGGAAGAGAAACAGAAAAAGACAAAGAAAAAAGAATAAATGAGAGAATATAAGAAAAGTCAGGATTTTTCCTGACTCGCTATTCTCAGAGTCATAAGGTTAGCATTTTAAGAGACACATTCTTCTCTAAGTACAAGACTAGAATAGGCATCTTGAGTGCACATGAGGACAAGTTGTTAGAGTTTACGTGTGGGGGTGTAGGGGTGTGTGTGGATGAGTTTGTACCAGGCTTTTTCTTTGGGACCACCAACCAGCTCTCAAATCATGAAAGGGAGACTTACTAGTTTTGAATGTTCTGATTAGCTTAGGATTGTTTCTGACTAGCTCTTTTACCTTAAATTAACCTGTTTATCCACCTTTTGCCTTGGCACTTCTACTTCCCTTTACCTCTGTGTCTTCCTTTTACTGCTTCTCATGGCTGCCTGGCTGGCCGCTGCCTGGCTTCTTGCCCCAGGCATGTCCCTCACTCTTACCTCTCTTCTTTTGCTCTCATCCTTCCTCTCCTGAGCCTAGATTTCTCCTTCTCTTTATTCTCTCGGACTGTCAGCCCCACCTACCCTTTTTCCTAGCTATGGGCCATTCAGCTCTTTATTCAACCAATTGGGTAACTTAGGCAGGCAAGATGAAACAAATGCAACGCATTCTTACATAATTAAACACACACGCTTACATCATTAAACAAATGCAGTATAAACAAAGGTAACACACCTTTACACAGTTAAAGTAATAGTCTGCAGCATAAACAATTGTACCACAACGTTGCCTAGTTATGATAATATTCTACATCGTATGTGTGTGTGTGTGTGTGTGTGTGTGTGTGTGTGTGTGTGTCTGTATCTGTGTGTTTGTGTGGGTGTATGTGTTTATGGTATTTTGCTTGTGTATGTGTTTGTGCACTGTGTGCCTGGTACTCAGGAAGGCCAGAAGAGGATATTTGATCTGCTGGGATTGGAGTTATAGATGACTGGGAGCTGCCATGGGGTGTTGGGAACTGAACTGTGGTCCTCTGGAAGTGCAGCCGATGTTCCTACCCACTGAGCTATGTCTCCAGTGTCTGTCAGTTGTTTTGATTTGAATCTGTTCATTTTTATTTCTGTCTTTCCTTTTCTGTCCTTTTTTCCCCCTTATGCACCCCATGTAGCACTGAACCTTTGGGTTTGCTTTCTTTCCTTCTCACTCCTACGCTGAGTATCAGGAATGATGGTGACAGAGAGGCTGGAACAGTGACATGCATGTTAGCAGCAAAGAACACTGTTGAGAATTTAGGAGCTGTGCCTGCTTTGTAAGAACCCAAGAGACCTCAAGGAAAGTAATCAGAGTGAGTAGGGAAGGATACATAATGCGAAGTGTTCCCTCTAGGAACTTGACTTCAGCAAGAACAGAAGTGTTTCCCTGAAGGACATAAGTAATGTCAAATATAACTCCTCACTATGCTTCTCCAAGGCACCAAATGGGCTTTTAAGCCATATATTCCTGGGGGCTTATTCATTGACTGAAAATAGAAACAGTAAATCCATTCCTTGTCTAAGTTTGCAATAAAAAGCAGACATTGTTGAGTTGCTGTACAGCCTGACTGGTACATATACTTATAATTCAAAGATGGGGGTGGCATGTTGAAAAACAACAAAAAAAGGTTAGTTACAACTCGGTTCAGGGGTTTGAGAATGTTGGCTTAACTTACGTGGGACCTTAAGGACTCAGTGAAGACTCTGGAAAAATTTGCAGAAGATAGTGTGAAATAAGGGTAGACTTCATACAAAATCAACAAAACTAAAGCACAATTTTCATTCATAATCTCTTAGATTTGATGAGCCTGACCAATAGCCATTTCCTTGTTGTAGGTCAAAGTATACATATATTAGTGAAGAAGAGACTACCCTACTGATTATGCTTATATGATGTTTAAAAAGATAACCTCAAACTCTCCTGCCCTCTACCTCTTCTTCCAAAACTTTCTGCATCAATCTCCCCTTTTCCACAATTTCTCAAAGAGGAGTCCCAAGAGTCACCAATAACCAAAGGAGCCTCTTGATATGGACATGTTGCCTCCTACTATTACATGTCAAATGATTTGACTATTTTCAGAAAATTCTAACAGGGCAGGTATCATCATGGAGAGATTATTTAGAATTTGGTCTATGCAGCTTTACTGTCTTGGTGTTGTTCCTTATGTGGGTGACCTTGAGGGAGTCATTTTATATCTCTGAACTTCAGGTTCTCTGTAAAATAAAGTTGCTAGAAGAGTCAATGAATTAATATATCTAAAACTTTAGAATAGTCACAAAGATAGTATGTAGTTAGAGATGAATGGTATGTAGGTAGAAAGTTGGGTTCATATGGATGGATGGATGATAGCTGGATGGATAGATAGGTATTGAGGAGTAGAGTCAAAGTCTTGCATTTATCATTCTTCATTCATTTATCTCTTACATGAAAGGTATTAAGGAATAAGATGGATAAGACATGTTTTTAGAAAATTCAAAGCTTAATAGGAAACCAATATTTATAATATGCCACAATAGCTGTGATAAAATAAGATACTCAATTACTTTACTATTGCAGAGGAAGAAGTGAGTCATTCTCTTTAGAGGCTTAAGGAAAGATTCATGAATTAACTTCTGCTACCGTGCATTTTTATTATGCATCTAGAACCACCAGAATGAGATCAGGAGAAAGAATAATAAAGGCGAGAGAGGCCACGACCATGACTGAACTTCTTGTATAGTTCCCTCCTGGGTTATCCACACTCATACCTTCTTAACTCAACAAATGTTTTTTTTTTTTTTTTGCCAGAAACACTTAAAGATTTAAACCCATCCTCCATATCCTTTGCTTTCAAAGCATCTTTCATTCCTGTGTTGAACAAAATGTAGTCACTAATATCACAAGGAAACATTTAGGCACCTGTGTTTACACACCAGTACACATATACCAACATACATATTAAATATAATTTGCATAGACTTTTTTTGTTTTAGTTTTTAAGGCATCATCTCAATCTGTACCATAGACTGTTTTTGAGCTGGTAGTATGGCTTTAATATCTGTGTGCTGAGTTCTGGATTTACTCATGTGGTCTAATGAATATACATCTAGGTATAATAATATTAATTAAATATGTATACTTATGTATTAAGCACCTATGTGGGTGGTTGTTTTAGGTTCAGATGATAAAAATAATCAAGAGGCACTTGCCTGTGGTTTATAATGTTGTAAAAAACACCATCTGACATAAATAGAATAGACTTCTGTTCAAAGGGTATGGGGAAATTAGCTCTGTTATATTTTTATCTCAACCCATTGTCAAGAAACTTGAGAAATATATTATGACATCTTCCCACTATTCCCAAATATTAGCCCTCTTACCATCATGAAGCAAAGTGAAGTGTCGGTAGAAGGAGAGCTGTCAGAAACACCTCCTCAGATTATCAATTTTGATTTTATTTTTTAGTAAAAGGCAATTACTCCTGGATTTAGCACCACATCACACAGTCTTTTCTTCCCACTGTATCTATGGATATAGGGAAAAATTTTCTAGTGAGAGATCATGAACACAAGAGAATAGTCCTTGTTTGATGAATAAGAACTACACACTATTTCAAGCATGACTGGTACCTTTGGTCTGCCTCATGCCTGCCTTGGTTGCATAAGCTCAGAGTGTGTTAGGAGCAATGATTCCCACTTGGGAAGAGTTAGAAATGGTGATGCCTACCGAGAGGGCCATTCAGTGTATGCCCTAGAAGGGATTAGTATAGTAATCGGAGTAGTTTTCTGGTTTCTAGTTTTGCCATATGATCTCTTGTCTCACATATACTGCTACCATTGTGATGTGATCTACCATGGGGTACTTGCCAGTGCTTGTACAGTACCTTTACATCTACAAACTTGGAGCTAAGTAAACCACTTGTCTGTGTAAGTTATCCATGCCCAGGCATTGTATTTCCTTATGCCAAAAACAACAACAACAACAACAAAAAAAAAAAAAAAACCGGACTAATATAATACCTTTTCCTATAAACTAAAAACAAATGTTTTTGAAGCAATAAAATGATTATTATTTTTGATGTTATTTTTAAAGTATAAGGCAGTCATTCCCGGGTTTGGTACCCCATCACACAGCTTTTGCTTCTGTACTGTCTTTTTCCCAGAGGTGCCATTCATTTTTGTGACTTAGTAATTAAAACTATATAACCCCTTGGCAAATTGTCTTGGACTTCTAAATTTTGGCCAATTTAAAGCATTTCTCTTCCTACTTTTTAAAAAATATTCTGGCAAAGAAATCACAAAAAGCAAAGCACTTCTTCCATCAAGTCTTGGCAATATGTGGACAACATGAATTTTAGTTAAAGGGAATACAAAATAATGCCTATGTGACTGGTACATTACTGGGATAATTATAATAATCCACTGTGCAACTCCAGACTGTACATCTCAACTCTCATTTACTCATGGTTCCCTATGCTGCGTAGACTAGACAAGTAGACAGAGTTTTTTTTTTTTATTTTTAATATAGTATGAGGTTTTCTACAGGAATTTGTCCTTCCAGTAATATTAAATTCAACCTGCAGAAAGTCTTTAATCTCTCTTGGACTATATTCTGTGCAGAGTTCCAGTAGGCAGCATGCTCGGAGTGATTGTTTTCGGGATCTTTGCACTGTATCATCTCTCATCTCAAATCACCTATTAAAAGTAAGTTTGATTCAGTTAGTGCCCATTAGCTCTTTACGCATTAGGTTATAGGAATAAAACAGTAGGCTTATGTTAGTTTCTGTTAACCACAAAAAGTAGCATCTATAGTTTCATTCTTCAACTTTGCTCATGTCCAGGCCCTTCATCCCCAGAGAGAGAACTGTCTGGGTTTATTCCTCAGGAAATCATTCAGACATCCCTGGCGTGACACCAGTCCTGATGGTGCTTTTGTAACCATTGGTTCTTTCTATGCCTTGCTATACTAAATGATGAACTCATTAGCCAAAGCATTCATTTTTCCCACCATCTAACAACACTGATCAGAATGTGTCAACCAATGGGCATTTTATCTATTTTAAATTAAGCTTTCAATGGCAGCAATCATGAACAAGGACTACAATTGCTTTGATTCTCTGAGTACCTAGGGTGCTCTAGGGCTGGGCTTGCTTTTCAAATACAATTTACTAAAAGATGAGTGACATTTTTTCTCATCTTGACCAAATTTTAGGTAGGCTTCTTCCTGCCTCTGAGTCCCTGACCTCCTTTTCCTTAGTGTAGTTACTTTAAACAAGTTGAAACTGTCAGTCCTTTCCCTATTCCTTTAAGATGCAAATATTTTTAAAGATTTCTTGCCAGCTTTATCACTGAGGAATGTCTTTCTCAAGTTCCTGTGAGGCAGTTTTTGAAATGTAAACCTCCGGGAAGACAAACTTTTTCAACCTCTATCTGTAGGATGCTAGGGACCTAACTTTGATTGGTGCCTTTCTCCACATTGTCAAGTTATCACCAGTCTTGAAGACAAAATAAAGCTTAATTATTTCTTGGCTAAAGTAAAGTAGCTAGCAGAGCTGACAGATGATATACCCTGACCCTAGCATTCCAATCTCTCCAGCTGTTGTCTTAGCAGAGTTTGATTGAGGTCTGTCTCATGTGTGGCAAGTTATGAATAATTTTATTTAGCACTGGACACACAGTTTTTGTTTAATAGGATCTTTAATCTTTAAAATGTTATTGGTAGGCCATGTTATCATCTAGGAAACTAAGATTCACTGAGCCAACTAACTTTCCCAGGATCCTGTGAGTCATACGTTCCAATCCAAGTTGGTGTAACTCTGTAGTTTATTTGCCATTTTGCCTCACCTACTTGGGCATGGAATCTATCTTCTTGTGATGCATTGGGCATTAAACTTGTGTCTTTCCAGTATTAAAATGATGGCTCTCGTGAATGAAGGGAGCTGTCACTGTGGTACCTACATTATCATGTTTGTCATAGAGACTGGTTCATGCTCTCAGAAATGCAAATCCTTTTAACCTAATGAGTGCTCCTATACTCTATTAGCCCTTGTATTTCCCTAAATTTTCCAAATCATCATTTTAAAATCATATATTTTCTAAAAGAAAATTAGAACATCAAAACTCCAGTGCTGATCTTCCCTACCAAGTATCTTCTTATCACCTTATATTGTCCAATGCTTCCATCAATTTGGACCAAGTCAGTTAGCTCTGACTTGTCTGTACGTCACCTCCCACGTCTAATCTGGCCTTAGCCAATTCTGTTGTTTAATCTTCAAACATGTTTAGGAAACAGCTGTTCCTCCCCGTCTGCACTGATTTGATTTTAGTCTGAGCCACTAATACTCTCACGGGGACTATTGCAGTAGTCCCATCCCTATAATCTCAACACA